ACGAATTGGATTTATTATGCAACATTTCTTCTAAATGTACTTATCTTGATGATAACATTTACTTTTAAAAACTGCTTTTTTATCCAACATGCACAAAAATGGCGCTTTTATATTTACAAAAGTATATTTGACAGAAATCTATTTTGTGCGACAAAGTTCCATTAGTAAGACAAGGACAACACTTATCAATAAAGGAGCTTTGTCGCACAAACTAGATTTCTGCGAATTAAGCTTTTGTAAGTTTGTTCTAGCTTATGAACATTCAAAATTCCATTCCATTTAGTTTTGATTCCAATATCAAAATCAAAATTCTTTTTTGTTTTAATTTTGATAAAATACTACTGCGCATGTATATAAGTCTCATTGAACCTAAATTTTGTTGCAAATGTCAAATATATCAGAAGATAATATCGTTTTTACATATACGAAATCTGAAGTAGAATTCGAATCGACTTCTGTTTCTATAAGAAAACCAAATTCCAGTATTACAGTATCAGAATCAAAATAGGAAGTAAATTTTGTTTCGTTACAGTATCGGAATCAAAATAGAAAGTAAATTTTGTTTCGTTACAGAATCAAAATCAAAATACATTAATAATTTCGTTTTGTTTTGGAATATCGTAACGAAATCAAAATTTGATTTCCGTGACGGTCCCTGATTCCGGAGAAATAAAAATGCGGTTTAGAAAGAATTCTTTCTAATATTTTTCAAGTCTATTAAACATTCATCTAAATGACATTCTGTTCAATAGAAATTCTATCAAATGAAAATTTTGATAAATTAAAACTCGACATACCTAATGTAAATTATGTCAAATAAAATTTTGACCATGAATAAATTTTGTACTATTAATGGATGAAGGGATCTTTTAGTTTTAGCGCATGTTCCTCATATATGAATAAGTCTCAAAATTGCTGAACCACAATTTGCTAATAATAAAATTATTGTAAACAAATGGATGACAAAAAATAATGATCCTTTTTCAGAAAAAATTCATTTTCTACTTATTCGTTTTAAATATTAAAAAGTTTATTTTTGTTTTTACTTATTATATTCTAAACTATATTTGGAAATTTTTTAACAAATTTTTAACAATAAATTACTTTATTATATAATATTTTATTAAATAAAAATATGACGGGAGGAAATGATACTCTTTTGTTTGAAAAAAAGTTACTCGGGGGTTATTGGGGTTGCTGAATACGAATTTGACTTCAGTTTTTGAAAATTCAAAATGGCTGCTCCATTATGGCGGACATAAAAATTAAAAGTCGACTGAATTCGCTTAAAACTCGTTACTCGGAGGTTTTCAAGGTTGCTAAATACGAAAATGAAAAAAAATTTTGAGGATTAAAAACGGTTGAATAGAAGTTAAAAACGCTTTTATATAAGTCATTTATCTGACAATCCATATATTCTCTAAATCTGAATATATGAAATTTAACTTATTACAAGTTATAAGTCATCTTCTCGATCAATAAGTGCATGTAAACTTATAAATAAGTAAATTTTTCACATTTCTGAGTGAAATTTCACTTATTACAAGTGTATATGCACTTATTGAACGAGAGAGCAACTTATATACAAATAATATGTGAATTTTCTCATATTCAGATTTAAAGAGCAATTTTGTCAAATTAAGAAAAAAATTGTATCAACATTGTTGCGATTCAACGATTTTATATTTTGTTTTCGAATTTGATATCCTTATTAGAAAAACTGTGACAATATAGCACTCAAATGTTGTGCTATTTGGGAACAAGTTTTTTAAAATTAGTGGTTTTTTAAATTCGAATAACTTTAGGGTCAAACCATTATATTTCAAATAAAGTCGTTGCGGCCTAATTTAAAAAAATGATTCTTTTAGAAATGAATCTGTTTGATCTCCGGGGAACGTAATAAAAAGAATTAGGGTCATTTGGGGTAAATATAAACGGAATATCTATTTTTCACGAAAAACATTAGTTTTTTTTGTTAAAAGGTAAAACAGACGGATTTTTTTTGCATGAACTTGTTACTAGAGTTTCTTAGAAAAATTTGATGAGGTTCAAAAAAATATTGATGCACCTGAATCGCCTAAAACTGACTGTTTACATTTACCCCGAGATTTTGAAATTTTCCTAAAATTCGGGGTAAATGTAAACACCACTGTAGTTAAGCGAGGTTTAAGAAACAAGTTATTTCAAGTATACTACTGTTTTAAGGGATGGAAAAACTGATAAAAATTCTTCGTATATGTATAGTAAATCAACCAGTTGACTGATAATGTATCATATAAAATAAACAATCATCCATTACAAAACTAGTAATGTAAAAACTTGAATAACTTGAACAAATTTTAATAGATTTTCATTCAACTTGGTAAAAAGAAGTTTTTAAGGTTGCAGAATAAGAATCTAAAATCGAATTTTTAAATTTCAAAATGGTGGATCCAATATGGCGGATGAACCTAAAAATAATATTTTTAAAAATTGATCAAATTTGCTTGAATCTGGCTTCTCGGGGGTATTTGAGGTCGCTGAATACGAATTTGAAGTCAAATTTTAAATTTTCAAAATGGTGGATGAACCTAAAAATATTTTTAAAAATTGATCAAATTTTCAACAAAATTTTTTTTTTTTATCAATTTTTTTTTTTTTTAAGAGGACCTAATTTCCTTTTCTATGTAATTTTACATTGCCAAATTAATGAAATTGTGAAATAGAAGCAAATTTATTCAATTATTTTCTTTCAAAATGTAGTTCAAGTTCTGGTTTAACTAAATTGACGAAAATCAAAAATCAAAGTCAATTTTTGTTAGGGCATTAATAAGGAAGAATTACATATTTTTGTCTGATTTTTTAATTTATTTTTATGCAAATGCGAGACAAAATACTGAAACAGTAAAATTTTGATTTTCAATCTTTTTTGCATTAAAAAATAACTTACACTATGGCATTGCCAATTGTCAAAATAAAATATTGGCAATACTCAGAACATCTTGTAGGTGAGCTGAGGTAAAAATATTGACGTCGTACTTATTTTTTAATTTGTAAATTTAGCTGAAACATCTACTGTTTACATTTACCCCAAATGACCCTATGTTAAAATATTAGTTGATTAATTATTTCTTAATAATTAAACTAGAATAAAAAATAAAAATAATAGATAAATTATGCATTTAAAGTAGGTCTGTCAAATAACCTAATTTTCATGTTTTTATCAATTAATTACAAGAAGGTGGAATTATTAAATTAAATAAAAACTCATCGAATATGAGTAGTTTTGATGAATTTTCGAATTTTCTTGTCACTTATTTAATTTTTTTTAAATATACAAGAAATATTGAGTTGAAAGTACGCGATTTATGAATTGTTGCGTACTTTGGAACTTATCTATCTCCATTAAAGAAAAATAAAAAAATTGGGCACTTTCATACAACTTCTAAATCACACCGAAATTTTCGTTTTGATCCCGGATCTAATTTAAAAGATATAAAGCTTTAGAAATTGTACATTTTATCAGGTTAAAACTGTTTATTTTCTTTTAATTAAAGTTGGTTTTTAATTTAAACACTGTTATCGAAACGTGACTCACAAGAAGAAACCAACTTCAATATTAGAAGAAAATAAAAAGTTTTAACCTGATAAAGTGTGCAATTTTTAAACTTTTATACCGATCTATTAAATAGATCCTGGACTAAAAGGAAAATTTCGATGTGATTTAGAAGTTGTGATAGTGCCAAATTTTATATTTTTCTTTAATGGAGATTTTACATATTTTATCTATTATTTTAATTTTTTCACTAGTTTAATTACATATTAAGAAATAATTAATAAACTAATTTTGAAGAGAAAACAGTAATTTTTTTTAAATATTTTATGTAATAAATATTTTCACTAATAGGGTAAGTGTGTCAATTGTGGCGGGTGCTCCAATTATGGCGACTTTGTACAAAAATAGAATTATTTACTATTTTAGAATAATATAGTTATTTGAAAATGATAGAAAAAGTTATTTTCGACCTTACTCGATATGATTGTACGAAAAAAAAACACATTTGAACTATTATTGGTTTAATTATTTAAGTACAAAAATTGTGCCCCGCCATAATTGGCACATTTTCATTGAATGTGCGTGCTCCAGTTATGGCGCGCAACACAACCTCTAAATACACGTTATTTTCCCCGCCGTAATTGGCGCGCCGAAATTGACTCAACCGCGCCATAATTGACGTTTTTAATCCTAATTCTTATTGCTTTAATTTTGTTTAAATAATTAATTTTTATAAAAGTTTTATTATCTATATGACACGGGCTTTTAGTTTAATAAGCCATAAATTTACTTCTTTCATTATAATTTTTGAATTTTCTATTTCAAAGACGGCTAAACCAGAACCGCGCCATAATTGGCACACTTACCCTAATTCTTTTTATTTCGTTTCCCAGAGATCATATAGATTCATTTCTAAAAGAATTATTTTTTTTAAATTAGGCCGCAACGACTTTTTTTTAAATTTAATGGTTTGACCCTTTATGTAAAATATTAACAGAACACATTCACAAAAAGATAGAAATATTTTTTTATGTTGAAAACATATAACTATAATAATAAATGTGAAAGATCGAATTTAAATAAATGTTAAATTTTGGAAAATATATTTAAAATAATAAATATAAATAAAACACAAAAGTATATCATTTAGACAATAGTTTCTGTATCAGCAAACAATAATTGAATAATACTAAAAGTAATTAAATTTTTTGTGCATAAAAGGGAAAAAAATAGAAATGAGGAATTAGTTGAATACAATAATATTTAATTATACATATATATTACACAATAATATTGTTTTATAGTTTTAATAGTGATAAATTGTAAATTTAAATCGGTAAAATATCTTTTTAATATAGATCTTAAAACTACATTGATGTGGAATAATTGAAATTTTGAGTTTGCACGTGGATACGTGTCAGGAAAAAATAAAGTGCTCTTATTTCGTTGTAGTGTTTGAACTCACCTTTAATTAAGGCGTCTGGTAAGTTAGTATGCGGTGTAAACCCTGTGGCGTTTGCTCTAGCAATGCAAGTATCTTGAAGAGAACAAGGCTCTTGCAAATTGTGAATACTGGCTAAGATAGAGAGCGGTACTTGGCTTCCATAATCCAATAAAGCCGACTTAATTAACTAACTGCTAACTTAGAAGCCTGTTAGCTATTATTGATTTTGTTTTACTGTATCCACTTTTTTAATAAATCTCCACACTAGTTCAAATTATTTAAATATTTTAGTTAAAGTTTTATTTATATTATTTGACATTAGTTAAACCTATCTTTTGAAATTCAATCATTTTTTTTTTTTTTTGACAAAGTGGATGTTTTTTCATTGTAAAATCCAATAGATCATTAAGTTTAAACATCTTTGTTAAAAAAATAATTGTTATTTATCATACAAGTGCGTAACGTGGGTAATAACACGAATATAATTAGATTTGCGCACACGTGTGTCAATATTTTTTACAACCCTGTCATTTGCAAAAATATTGGTAACATTTGTGCAATATTGTTATACGTTTTGTGGGAGAAATTATATAATACATGTACAAGCAATAAGCTTTTTGTCATTATTTCTAAATAGAAAGTCACAACAGTGCAAAATAGGTAATTGCTATGAAGGCGAGAGGGGTGTCCAAGTCAATTGTACTTTTACATTGAGCTTTAATAGGTAAATCGCATCGACTTTGACACCCCTTTAAATTATAAATATTGACATATTATACATAATAAATGCAATCTCGAAGAGCAAAAGAAGAACTTGTTTGATTTTTTTTTAAATCTTTTTGGTTTAAAAATAATTGTTGAAAATATTTTTAAACAATGAATGTGTGCTATTGATGAAATCTCCGAAACTACTCAACTGATCCTTACCAATTTTTTGCCACATATTCTTTAGAACTATAGCTCTAGTCCCCTCTGCATGTTAAGGGATTTTAAAATGTATTTTAAATAATTTTTTGTGGCGCGAGCATTGACGGCGCGAGCAGTAAAAATTCCTTTTAAGAGGACTTTCTGTACTCTCTAAATCTGAATATATGATAATTCACATATCTGTAAGTTATTATAAGTCGTTTTCTCATTCAATAAATGCATATACGCTTATGATAAGTGAAATTTCACTCAAAATAAGTGAAAAATTCGCACTTATTCATAAGTGCATATGCACTTATTAATCAAGAAAACGACTTATAACTTACAAATATGTGAATTTTCACATATTCAGATTTAGAGAGTAGTCCAGAATTGGTAAAAAACACGCTTTTCAAACTTCTATTACAAAAAATATATTATAGTTATTGCAAAAATTCCTTTTGAATATATTGTTACATATTTTTAAGAAGATTTTATTACGAATTTTTAATATAACTTTCTCTTTATTAAACGAAAACAAAACTTTACTTATTTGAACAAATGAAAATTCAGGAATAAAATCAATTCTATATAGGTGTAAAAATGCATTTATATTACTTCTGGTTACATAGAGAAATAAATTAATCGAGATGCGTTTTGACATTTTTAAGTCTGAGCGGGCACTTTACGCACAGCTTATCGTCTGTAAAATTAAACTTTAGAGTTCAGTGTTGCAAAAAGTGATAATATTGTGCAAGATAAGATTTTAATAGATTTTTACAGGGTATTTAATAGTAATATTAGTTTTTCCATTTTGAAAAATTAATATTTTTAAGGGTACTTTCTGGTGCAGAAATTGGTGAGAAACACACTTTTTTATTCGCTTATTGTTAAGGAAGTATTACAGTTATTGCAAAACTATTGTTTAATGTTTTAAAATTTGGTACACATATTATACTTTTCTACTCAAAAAATCGCAAAACGCGGTGTTTTTAGGGCAATTTACCCTCGATGAAAATAAAAGGAAGTAGAAATATGAAATTAGTTTTATAGATAAATGATCTTTGGTTTTTTAAAAATTACTAATTTCTTTTCTTTTGTATATTTCTTAAAAATTGAAATTTTTAAGATTTTTTAAACTCCTTGATCAGAAAGTCACCTTAAATGAATAATTCGAAATAAATTCTACTTCTTCGAAAAGTTTGTTTTTTTATTAATAAAGACAATTTAGTTCATACACGTTCAGATTGAATTACTTATTACATATTAATTTAGTATTTTTAAACAATTGTTTTTCTCTAACAAATAAAGTTTTTGACTAGTAACGTAAGAAATTGTATTCCATTGCTTATTTAGTATTTTTAATATCAGTGTTGGTCTACATGTCTTTTAGAAGTAAAAATAATCATATAGGGTCGAATGTGCCCATATTTTATTAAATATAAATAAAGATCATTTTTCACGTGGGAAAATAATTTATTTGTCAAAAAGTGATGTATTTTCGTTATGCAGTTCATTAGGCAAAGGTAATAATAACCTAATAATCTTATAATTAGCTCTCAGTAAAGTTCTACTGTAACATTCCATTCATACTGGAAGCTTACACCGTAAAATTGCAGTAACTTTAAGGAAATCTTCAGAACTGTTTGTAAATTTACAGTATAAGCTTTAATCCGTGTAGAAATTTGACCGGGCTCTAGTCGGGGCCAGACCAGGGCTAGTTCAGAAAATCTGGTCTGGCTCAGGACTGGATGAAACAATAAAACTGACCAGCGTCCAACCTGGGACATGGAATTTTTCCCGATTTGACAATCATTGAAATTTTTGTGGAAATACCCTGATCCATCACTAATGAATAAGAACAATACAATTAAGTTTACTTAATTTTCAGTTGAAAACATACAAAAAATTTTGAATTTATATATGAGGCATTCCAGGTGAAATCGGAAATTATTTTGCTTTTGCATCTCAAATTTTTTTAAAACAATTTTTTTCTTTTAGTAGGGGAGCTTGCGGGTAATGGGAGCTTTTAAATTTCACGTACTTAGAAACCTTAAAATTCGCTGCAATGTCTAGAAAATCATCTACAACCTTTCTTTATATTATTCCAAAACGAACGATCACATTCTTGACAGATTTTTAGTAAAGAGAAGGGAAAATGTATTTTTTTAGTTTTCGTTGTAAAATGCAAAACATTTCTAAACATCACCATAAGTAGTTAAAATCGTATTATTTAGTTATGGTTTTTCATTATATTATAGGTGAATATGTGTAGATATATGTATACATGTATAAAAATCAAGATAATAATAAAATTTGTTTATGTTTTTATTTTTTTATTCAAATTTTGTCCTGTAAGAATTCTGTGGGGTAATGGGAGAATTAGTGTCAGCCCAAAGAATTTTCGTTACCATGTTACGGCTTTCGTTATTTCTTTGAAGATTGTAAAAGATATCACCTTATGAAAAAACTTTTAATTAAAAAATAATTTTTGGTGGAAAAAATGTAAAATTTAAATGTTTTTCAACAATTTTTTATTCAATTATAATTTAGGAAAAAATTTATTCTAAGTCTAAAGTTTTGGCTCTATTGTAAGTATTAACACTTTTTTCTATTAGAAAACAAAAAATATTCCTAAAAAATAAAATTTTTTTAAATTTTAAGTGAAAGCTCCCAATACCCCACAAATTGGGTAATGGCAGAAAATGAATTTTTTTTTGAAAATTTTTTTTTCAAATTTACTTTCTTTTTTTAAGTTTCTAATTAAACATAATTAAAGATAAATAACGAAATGAGTATAGAAAATGACGAAAACAATGTATTATATTATAAAGATAAGTTGGTTTTTTTAATAATTTTTCTTAAGGGGCTCCAATTCCCCCACGCTCCCCTACTCTTTGAAATGAGCTACCTTGATTTTTTTCAAATTTTTTCATAGAGCGGTTCAGGAGATACAGATTTTTGAAAAATGACGTTTTTAACGTAAATTTTTTTTTAAAAATGCTTATAACTCGGTCAAAAATTGATCAAATTGGACGTTTTTATAATGAAAAGTTTTGTTTTCACGCGTAGTTTTTAATAAAAATATTTTTAAAAAATTTTAAAATAATGACTAACTTGCCATTTGACAAAATCACACAAATTTTTCACAGCAAATGCGTGTTTTCAGACTAAGTCTCTCGAAACTTAATCTTCTTTCTGTGTAAAATTGTGATTTGGTCAAATGACAAGTTAGGCCTACCGTTTTCACTGTGTGTATAAAAATTAAAATTTTTTAAATAAATAGATCCCACCGTTTGCCACCGTTTGCGGACAAGGCTTAAACATTGTTAATTTAATGCTAGTTTCTTACAAAAAATTTTGAAAAAAAATCAAGGTAGCTCATTTCAACAAGTACTAAAACTTAAAAGAAAAAAAATGATTAAAAAATATTTGAGATGCAAAAGCAAAATAATTTTCGATTTGGCCTGGAATGCCCCATATTTATAAATTTTAAAATGCAATTTTATAACTACTTTTTATGATTAAACATTTTGTCATTTGTTTACATTTGCTTATATTATCCTTTATTCTTCAAGATGTTAAATTTAAATATCTCAGATATTTATTATAGTTACACAGCAAACTACGAGGTATTGAATAGCGCTGTAATTAAAATTTACACTAAAAAGATTAAAATAATCCACTTCTGGGTCAATTTTTTCTATGACAAAAATGTGTCTCTAAATCAATAGCAAATAATTCGAAACCGTTTTGAAAGAATAATTCTTAGATGAATTATTTTAATCCTTGATGAAGTAAAGGTAATTAAAGAATGCAGGTTATTCTAATTAATTTTATTGTACTAAAATAATAATTATTATTAATTATTAATAATTTTCTGCATGTGTATAAGTTACAGTCAAATGACTCTTGCGCCTGCGCTTGAACATCGCATTTAATATCTCACATGTTTAGTTTTAATAACTTATTTATTGACACATTATTTCATTATATTTACGATTATTGCTACAAAAAGATACTATGTACTAATTGTTAACATCCAGATGTTAAGCGGAAATATCTTTTCTAAAATATACATTTCTAAATATCCAGTTTTTTCCGTCAAATATATATAGGGGAAAGGTACGCACGTTGAGACGGGTTCTGTTTTTCAGTTATAATTTTTAACAAACAAAATTTAGCGAAAAATTCGAAATGCTTTCTCAAAGGTATTATCCAGGGCTACAACATTGGCAAAGAAAGTTTTTTTTTTTTGATAAAAATGAA